TTATGTTTCTAGGGGCACCTGGGGGGCTCAGTAGGTTAAGCATCTGCCTTCAGCTCAGGTCATGATTCCAGGGTCCTAGGATCCAGCCCCAAGTCAGGCTCCTTGCTCAGTGGGGAGTTTGCTTCTCCCTCTTCCTCTGACCCTTCTTCCCCTGCTTGTGCACACACGCACAGACATGCATATGCTCTCACAAATAAATTAAAATCTTAAAAAAATTGTGTTTCTAGGAAATGTCAGGCCAAGTTAATGTTATTTGTTTACCAATTGTGTAAAGACCACCTTCAAGACCTTCCCTTGCCCTGATATGTCACTTTATGGAAGCTGTGGACCAAATTTCAAGTGAGTGACCAAGGAGACATCTAGCAACTGTCTGGATATCTCCAAAGCCCATCCAACTGGCCAAAACATCCTGTCTACTTCCAATTACGCTTTTCCTTTTCAGGTCAAGTAGTTGCTTTTGGGGGTCCCTAAGTCCCCTGACAGCCCCCAATGGAGGGCAGAGGGCCCAAAATTCAAGTGACTATAAAGACTGTGGTGGAAAAAGGTCTGGCGGAGGTAGAGAGGAGGAAGGAGTTTGGAGGGGGACATAAGCAAAGATTCAACGGAACCGGAGGGAATACTGAAGGTAGTAAGAGGGAGAAGGCGGAAGAGCAGCAATGCGAAGGGAGGGCTCTTCAAGGAGCCAGACTGGGGAGATCTCAAGTTTCCCAAATAGGCCAATGAAGTTCTATATTATTCTCAGCAAAAGCATGCCAACACGAATGGAGGTAGACAAAGTTGGCAGAAAACATAGCTATCAGGGGTTCAAGAAGGGTATTTGAGTCAAACGAGAAGTTCCCATGGAAAAAGCAGGATCCAACACAGAAAACTAAGAGGTATTATAGAGAGCCAGGAAGATAGACTTCCAGTACAATGAGTCGGGGTGGGGGGGAGGCGGGGAGAAAGATTTCCAATCCAGAGAGTCAGAAAATAATCCCCACTCATAAAAAGAAGAGCCAAGAAGAAGAGATTTCCAGACTGGTAGGTAGCTTTCAAACAAAGAAGCCTAGGACTCTAACCCAGCTTCTTACAAACAGCTGTTTGCCTGGCACTCTAACTGAGCTTCTTACAGACAAACATGGAAAGCCAACCCAACCTGTGTTTATCTGGGACTCTCTATCTCATCTTCTGGGATATACTCAGACCCTTAGGAATCAAAATCTGCCCTTACCAGCTTCCACGGACGTTTGTCCGGAGCAATGGTTCAGGAGTCGGACTCACCAATGGATCCCCGATCAATCAGTCAGGAGTGAAGATAAAGTCTTCAAAGGTATGCACTTAGGGTCCTGGGTGAGAGGTCCGGGGGTCCAATGATGAATCTGATCCTATCCAAGTTGAGGCCACCATAACTGTTAAAAGGAGAAAAATGATACTTGTTAAAGCATGGTAGGGAAGACTTTGGGGGGTGGTGAGGCTATGAAATTTTGCAGTGGAGGAAAGAGACTGGGCTCAACTCTGAATCCTGCATGGGCAAGAGGGACTTTATAGCTAAGGAGAAGGGTAAGGTCAATGAATTGAAAATTATTAATAGGAAACATCAGTGGTCAGGGGCAGGGGGGCTCTGACTAAACAGCCTAAAGGATTCTTGCTGAAAACAGGCAAGGGCAATCAGACGTCATCTTCTGGATGTTGCAGGAGGAGGAACCCAATCAGACATCAAGGGGGAGCGCTTCTTGCTAAACTGACTTAGAAAGGTTCTTGCTAAAACTACATTTTACAAGGATGTGTACATATGGCCCAGGGAAGGTTCAGAAGCCTAACTAAAGTCTGCCCAAGCAAAGAGTTTTTGTCACCTGTTGCTTCCTTTTACTCCACACAGAATACTTCTGACACCAGACATGTGGGGTTTTTCCTCCCACAACAACCAATTCTCCAACACCAGCTGCAATTCAATTCAATTCTAACACTAACTGGAGTTACAGCAGACCTCATGACATAAGATCTCAGTCTCATAAGACTGCCCCCCACTTCAGACCAATCACAAGTAGTGGGTCCCCATGTTACCTACAACTTCTGTCTGACTTGGCTACAAATTGTACGTTCCCATGACCCCCTCACTGGATTCAATCACTTGCTAGAACAGTTCCCAGAACTCAGAGAAACACTTACATTTACTGGCTTATTACATAATAAAGGATATAGTAAAGAACACAGATGAACAGCCAGACGAAGAGATACAAAGGGTGAGATCTGGAAGGGTCTGGCGCAGGAGTTTCTGTCCCAGTAAAGTTGGGGTGTGCCACTCTCAGCATGAAGATATGTTCACCACCCTAGAAGCTCTTCAAAGTCCATACTTTGGGATTTTATGGAGGCTAATCATATAGGCATGATCAATTATTAACTCAATCTCTAGCCCCTCTCCCCTTCCAGGAGAATAGGACAGGGCTGAAAGTTCCAAGCTTCTAACCATGGCTTGGTCTTTCTGGTGAGGGACTCCCATCCTGAAGCTATTCAGGAGCCTATCAAGAGTCACCTCTTTACGTCAAAAGACACTCCCATCACCCGGGAAATACCAAGGGCTTTAGGAGCTTGTGTCAGGAATAAGTCAAAGACTGAGTGTTAGAACACAAGATGCTCCTAGTGCTCTTATCATTTAGGAAATTACAAAGGATATTCAGAAGCTCTATACCAGGAACTGGCTACAGATATACATATATATTCCAAAAACCAAGATTAACGGATTTCATCTATAATCTTTTTGATGATGGCCACAAGTTTCAGCATTTGAGTTTGAATCACTATTTACAGCATTACATCTACTTTACACATTCAAAATTACGTTAAAAAACCCATGTGTGGGCGCCTGGGTGGCTCAGTTGGTTAAGCGACTGCCTTCGGCTCAGGTCATGATCCCAGGGTCCTGGGATCGAGTCCCGCATCGGGCTCCCTGCTCTGCGGGGAGCCTGCTTCTCCCTCTCCCACTCCCCCTGCTTGTGTTCCCTCTCTTGCTGTGTCTCTCTGTCAAATAAATAAATAAAATCTTTAAAAAAAAAACAAAAACAAAACCCATGTGTACCTGGTTTTATAGCTGAAGGCAATGACTAAAGAATGTTACATTTCTCAGTTTATAGAAGCGCAATGTTTTAATATTCTAAGAGTTCTTCTGCTAATGTAAGACTTCCAATTACATTTCTACAACAGAACTGCTCTCCCAGGCATTTTACATCAACTGAAAATGTCAATTTCATTACAGGACATTTAGAATTTGGGGATGTCATTTGGCTTTAGGAAATCTGTCCAGATTAAACAAAAATCAAACCCAGACACAAAATAATTGTATCGTACATAAAACTATTCCTAATTACTGTTTACCTACCAATGTAGGATCTTGTAAGTAAGCCACATTTATTTCAATCACAGTTAAATAAACGGTTGGTTTTAAACCTGCACCAGATTCGGGGCGCCTGGGTGGCTCAGTTGGTTAAGCGACTGCCTTCGGCTCAGGTCATGATCCTGGAGTCCTGGGATTGAGTCCCGCGTCGGGCTCCCTGCTCAGCAGAGAGTCTGCTTCTCCCTCTGACCCTCCCCCCTCTCATGTGCTCTCTCTCTCACTGTCTCTCTCGCAAATAAATAAAATCTTAAAAAAAAAAAACCTGCACCAGATTCATTCCATCATAATCAGGTAGCTGTTCCAAGAATTTCTTAGAAAAAGGCACTTGCTGCATTACAAAGATGCTGTGCTAGGTTCAATTCAGACTATGGTGCTCACTGATAACAATTTTTAAATTTAATCTGGGTCAAAAGAACCAGAATTAGGACAGGTATCACTATAATAAAACAAAAGAAAACGTTTTATTGCTGATCTATGCTACATTTGGTTATTTAAGTTACCTTAATTTTCTCAAAGAATTTCTGAAGTAGTTTTTTTCCCATCTATCTTAACCTATCTGTAAATGTTTAAATACTTTAACCTCTGCAGCAGAGAGAATTTCTATTCGTATTTTACTTGCAAGGAAAATCCAAACAGCCCCTCATATTTTAATGGCACCTCAAACTATTCTTTTTTGTGACACTCTTTTTAGAGAAGCCTCCATTAGAAGTCTGTCAATTAATAAACTCGTTGCTCAGTTAGCAGAGAAATAACTGTACGTTAGTGGTTAAGAAACCCCGTAATTGCAGCATTTAACACCTACTGTTGCTCTTAATGCCACCAGGCTGACTCACACTAATGAGCTCTCCAGGTGCCACTGTCTAACAGGCCTGTCAAGATGAGCACTCAGCAGTGGAGTCTCCAGAAGAATTCATCCAATCACGGTACTTGCTTCCCACACATAAACAAAGAGAACTGATTTTTAGGTTCTTTGCCACAAGGAAATGCACTGAAAACAATTAAAGCATCACATGATCTGGGAAAGAATACTCCTTCCTTTCTTTACAGTGAATCCTGAATTACATTAAAAAAAAAAAAAAAAGCTACTTATAAAGATATTTCCTCGGGTTAGTACTGGATCTCCCAACACATGCTGTTTTAACCCTGTAATTTAAGTATCAAAACCACAACACCCAATGTGCCAAAACGCGAACTAGAGACAAAAGGACCGTTCTTACGTCTTTGGCGATCGTGGTTATAAATCACGTACCTGCGGAGCATTCGAGTTGAGTTACACACTGGATGATGCAGCCCAAAGTGGGCGAGGATCTCCAACCATCCAGAGTCAAGGCCGGTGCCCAGGTCCATCGAGCCCTTAACAATGTCCCCGTCCCAACTCCTCCCCAGCCCAGGCATCACAAACTCCCTGGCCTCCAGAATCTTAACCTGGTTTTCATACTAGTCTCCAGAACCTTAACTCCAGGTGTTTTAGGCTCCCACCCCACCTCAAAAAATGTTCGCAACGTTGTAATGGCATGTCTCTTCAGGATTTATGCTCCCGACCGCGACCTCCGACCCAGCGTGTCTCCCTCCTGTCCCCTGGGAGGCGAAGCTCCCTTCCTTTGGACCCCCTCCCGGCAACCCTACTCACAAGCTGGCCGCGTCGGGGGGCAGCGGGCTCGACAGCGCCCTCCAGCTCGGCGCTGGTAGTTTCCTGCGACTGCAGTCCAGCAGAGGGATGCGGCAGGAGCAGGGCGCGGGGCAGAGGCCTGCGCGAGCGGCCGGCAGCAAGAGGAGGGCAGCCTGGGCGAGGAAAAGGAGCCGGGAAAGTGGTGTGGACCGACAGTCCAGCAGCGGCTCCTCCTGGACGCCTTGGGGCGCCGGCGCCATTTTCCACCCCCCGACCTGGACCCAGCCGAGAAGAGCCGCCAACCGAAAGAAAGCTCGGCGGAGACGTCTGGCGGCTGCGCTGCCACCCCAGGGCCCGGCTGTCGCCTGGACCCTCCGAAGGCAGGAGAGGGGCGGATACGCACAGCAGCGGGGGCGGCGGCCGAGGATACACGGCTAAGGCCCTACGGACGACGCTCCTCCGCCCCGCCCCGCGACGCAACGTCTTCACGCACAAGAGCCAGCCAATCGGTGCCACAGAACGAGGTCGCGCCGGGGGCGGGACTCCGTGAGGAGGCGGGGCCGGTGAGTGGGCGTTTCTTAAGGAGGATTTTAAGGTGTCCGGCACGTTGTGGCGCCAGTTTGGTGTGCCGCCGTCAATTTTCCGCTGGAGGGCGCAGTAGCTTCTTAAGAGGAAGAGCGGCTAAAGCTCTGCGAGTCCGAAGTCTTGATTTGGGGGATATTTACTATAATCGTAGAAAAGGATCTTTCTTCTGGGCTCCAAGGAAGGGGAATGATAGAAGGGCTACCTTCCTAGTCGCGGACTCTGAAGGTATGTTACCTGGCGTTGGCCTCCAGAGCCCAGCTGGGGCCGCCGCTGCCCCCTCCTGCTTGTCTGCTGCTCCTGCAGTCCTGCAAGTGGGTGACAACTCCCACTCTCTTAACAGGAAGCATGTTACCACTATCAGTTGATTGACTGCTATCAGTTGATCAGCTCCTGAAGGAAGAGGCCCTCTTTATTCATCTGTGTACCTCCAGCTTCTATTTTAGCCTGGAGTTTAATAAATGTTGATGGGACTGCACCTGCGAGGCATGTCTCTAAGGAAAATACCCTGCCTTCCTCTGTTGCAGAGAAGCTGTCCTTTATGCTCACACTCAGAAAAGCTAGTGGGACCTATAAAGAGGATGTTAAATAGTCAACAAAGCGAAGGCTGGGTGTTATTTATCCTGAAGCAGAGGCTATGAAAAACCTACTAGGAAGAGCCAAGTCTGGCCTCCTTATGCTCACTCAGTCATTTCTTATATCCAAGTTTATGAATAAGACTTCAAGAATATGGTGGCTCACTTCTATGTTGTGCTTTTATACTTTTCAAAGAGCATTTGCATCTGTTACCTTGTTTGGTCTCTCAGTGACTGTAAAATTGACAGGACGATTGTTGCTGATGAGAAAACAATCCCAGAGAGGTTCAATGAAGTGTTAGAAACAAATTCAGCTGAGTAAATTTGAAGATCTAGTTGGTGTTATGCAACATTCATGAACCAGGCCTCATTCCACCCAGCAAAGGAGCTCTGAGGAGATGTACAAAATGGAAGGCTTTTGTAGGCAGAAGTGGGTGGAAAAAACGAAGTTTCGAGCAAAAGTCACCTCCTTTGGTGGCGGGTGGAGGGTCTATCAGGCACATCACCTCACCAGCGCTGACCAGTTAATTCCAGACTGACTGATTAAAGGTCACAGTCCTGGGAGTGGTGGAAACTGCAATTAGGTTAGGTATTTAATCTTGGTTTGCGGATGTGGGGCTTAGCACAAGTGACTCCATTTTGGACCTGTTTCTATTTCAACAAATTACCTGGAGCAGAGGCATACTGGCATTACTATGGGTTTTCTGACTCTTGCAAATTGAAAGACTGAGCAGGTTAAAAAAAGTGATAATGCCTAGGTCATAAGGTTGTCCTAGAAAGTAACTGAAATCAATCTTTCCATGGCAGGTTTGGAGTCACAATTATGCTTTTAAAACCCTTTTTCAATTTTTTAAGAATTGAAATATTTCTTGGATATCCATTGCTTGGCTATCCAAAGACATATCCAATGCTCCAATCTTACTTAACCAAACTTTAAAAGCCAAGACAGCAGGGTGAAACTTACTCTTAACCTCCTTTCCCTGGCTATTAAGCATACTTAACAACCTCCACTAAGAAACTGGGCATAGGCAGGAGTAATCTTAGTACCTCTCTGAATTTTGGTTTCAGAGCTTCCCTATGGGCACAATAGAAATTCATGCTCTCTATCTTGTGTCCTCCCAAATAAGTTGTGCAGGTCACACCAGCTAGGAGCCCCTCCCAGTTCTTAATTCCTTCTGCACATTATTTTTTACCATTCTGATAGGTAGAGGGTTGTGGGATTGAGCCCCACATCAGGCTCTGCATTTGGTGTAGAGTCTGCTTGAGAATCATCTCCCCCACCTCCCCAAGCATGTGCATGCTCTCTCTCTCTCAAATAAATAAATAATCTTAAAAAAAAACACAAACTCCTGCAACTCAATAATAAAAAAAAAAAATGAAGAATGGGGAAAGGACTTAGACATTTTTCTAAAGAAGATATACAATGGTTAATAAGCACATGAAAAAATGCTGAACATCCTTCATCATTAAGGAAATGCAAATCAAAACCCAGTGAGATAGCACTTTACACCCATCAGGGTGGCTATTATAAAAAAAAAAAACCCACAAAACAAAAACAAAACAAAAAAAGTGTTGCAAGGATGTGAAATTGGAACTCTTGTGCATTGCTGGTGGGAATGTAAAATGGTGTGACTAGTGTGGAAAATGGAATGGCATTTCCTCAAAAACGTAAACATAGAATTATGACTCAGCAATTCCATATCTGGGTATATACCCAAAAGAATTAAAAGCAAGGATTTGAAGAGATATTTGCACACCCATGTTCATAGCAGCATTATTCACAGTCAGCCAAAAGGTGGAAGCAAACCAAGTGCCCATCAACAGATGAATGTATAAAGAAAATGTGGTATATACACTCAGTGGAGTATTATTCACCCTTGAAAAGTAAGGGAATTCTTTTTTTTTTTTTTTTTTAAAGATTTTATTTTATTTATTTGACAGAGAGAGAGAGACAGCTAGAAAGGGAACACAAGCAGGGGGAGTGGGAGAGGGAGAAGCAGGCTCCCGGCCGAGCAGGGAGCCCGATGCGGGGCTCGATCCCAGGACCCCGGGATCATGACCTGAGCCGAAGGCAGACGCTTAACGACTGAGCCACCCAGGCGCCCCAGGAAGGGAATTCTGATACATGCTACAATGTGGATGAAATCTGAAGACATTATTTTTTTTTTTTTAAAGATTTTATTTATTTATTTGACAGAGAAAGACACAGCGAGAGAGGGAACACAAACGGGGAGTGGGAGAGGGAGAAGCAGACTCCCCGCCGAGCAGGGAGCCCAATGCGGGACTCGATCCAGGGACTCCAGGATCATGACCTGAGCCGAAGGCAGTCGCCCAACCCACTGAGCCACCCAGGCGCCCGAAATCTGAAGACATTATACTAAGTGAAATAAACCAGTCACAAAAAGACAAATATTGTTAATTCCATTTACACGCGGTACCTAAAGTAGTCAAATTCATAGAGACAGAAAATAGAATGGTGGTTGCCAGGGGCCAGGGGAGAAGGAGATAGGGAGTTATTGTTTAATAGATACTAAGTTTCAGTTGGATGATGAAAAAAGTTCTGGAGATGGATAGTGCTGATAGTTGCAAAACAACATAAATGAACTTAATGACACAGAACTGTAACTTGAAAATGGTTGAGAGGGTAAATTTTATGTTATGTATATTTTACCATAATTTTTTTTACAAAAAAATTTAAAACCAGAAATCTAGGACTTGTCTTCAAGTCTTTCCTTTCCCTTTATTCTCCATGTGCTCCCAATGGTTACCCCACATCCAGTCCATCAGCAAATCCAAAATATACCTTAAAACGGACTGCTTCTTTCCATCTCCATTACCACCATACCAGCTCAAGACATAATCATCTCTCACCTACACCACTTCAGTAGCCTCCTAACTGAACTTTTTCCAATCTCGTTTCCCTCAAAACTATCCGCACAGCAAACAGCATGAATGTACTCTTTGACAGGTAAATCAGAGAGTGCTAGCCATTCACTTCGTTATCAGCAGTTCACTACATTATCAGATAATACCAGCAATTTACTACATTATCAGATACAATATGTGTGTATATTCATGTTATATATGTTATATATTACATATATAAATGTACTGTATATCATATATTTTTTCATATACTAAAATAGTTGTATGGTTTTTCTTCTTTAACACACATATATATGCCATATGATATATAATATAGGTCCCATATACCATAAGATACATGTAAATATCATATATGTAATATATCATATATATGTGTTTAACATAATTTTCCAGAAATCTTCATTACAAAAACTTTTTGCCAACTTGGAACACAATGAAATTCCTTAAGCTGATAAAGGATATTTACCAAAACCTGAAGCAAACTTCATACTTAATATTAACATAAAAAATACAATAAAATAGGGGCGCCTGGGTGGCTCAGTCGTAAAGCATCTGCCTTCAGCTCGGGTCATGATCCCAGGGTCCTGGGATTGAGCCCCGCATCGGGCTCCCTGCTCCGCGGGAAGCCTGCTTCTCCCTCTCCTGCTCCCGCTGCTTGTGTTCCCTCTCTCGCTGTCAAATAAATAAAAAATCTTAAAAAAAAAAAAAAATACAATAAAATAGAGGCACCTGGCTGGCTCAGTCAATAGAGCACATGACTCTTGATCTCAGAGTCACATGCTCTACCGACTGGGTTCAAGCCCCATGTTGGATGTAGAGATTACTTAAAAAAAAAAACAAAACCTCTTAAAGAAATACAATATAATACAAACATTAAAAATAGTCATCTTGGGGTCCCTGGGGTCCCTGAGTGGCTCAATAAGTTAAGGGCCTGCTTTCGGCTCAGGTCAAGATCCTGGGCCCTGGGCTTGCCCCCTCCCCCCACTGTAGGGCTCCCTGCTCAGTGGGGAGCCTGCTTCTCCTTCTCCCTCTGCTCCTCCCCACCCCCTGCCGTGGCCCCGCTCAAGCTCTCTCTCTGGCTTGCTCTCTCTCTCAAATAAATAAATAAAATCTTTTTAAAAAAAATACTCATCTTGGGACGCTTGGGTGGCTCAGTCGTTAAGCGTCTGCCTTCGGCTCAGGTCACGATCCCAGGGTCCTGGGATCGAGTCCCACATCGGGCTCCCCGCTCAGCGGGAAGCCTGCTTCTACCTCTCCCACTCCCCCCTGCTTGTGTTCCCTCTCTCGCTGTGTCTGTCTATGTCAAGTAAATAAATAAAATCTTTAAAAAAAAAAAATACTCATCTTACATTAGGATCAAGACA